ACAGAGGCACCTGTGATAGATTGCTGAGGAGAGGGTCAAGTTTGATTCCCTCACTATCTGCCACATATTGTCAATTTAGTACTTGACCAGTATGGTCAATAGTGGTGATACTGAGTCACTCTTGATAAACGTTAGGTTCTCCACTCAGAGTACATTCTATGCTCTTGTCACCCTCGGTGCTTCTTCCAAGTGGCATTAAAGATGAAGGACTATGGATTGATTAGATGAAGGGAGGTGATAGGTGTTAATCAGCAGGAGGGCTCCTTGCTGTGTTTAACCTGATGCCATGAGACTTCATGGGGTCCAGAGTCAATGTTCAGAACTCCCAGGGAAACTCCTCCAAAATGTGTACCACTGATGAGTCTTTCTGCCAGTGGGACAGGACCTATACCAGGATAATGATGACAGTGTCTGGGAGATTACAAAGTATTGTTCCATATGTATGACTATGTCTGTGGTACACGTTTCCCAATTTTGGCACATATCCCCCGATGTTAGTAAGGAGGACTTTGAGGGATTAAAGGGGATGGGGTTTGGTGCTAAAGAGGGCAATGCTTAAAGTGCTGATTACCATGCTTCATGCCCCTAGGGAGCGTATCACATTGGCTGAGTAGCCTGTTAATCAAGTTGGTCAATGCACCCGATTGGCTGCTTTGCACAGTGACCATCTGAAAGACACCAATCATTGTTTATGACCCATCAGATTCAGCAGTCCCTTGTTACTTGCCAACCTTGTGGACTGTTTAGTTTCTGAAAAATGGGAGGTATTGACAACTGCTTTGCTTTCTTCACTTTAGGCCTGGCTTGAGGTTGCTAAAGCACAAAGTAAGAAAGTGAGATCAAGACCTCAGTGGCAATGATTAAAATGAGGATGTTGGGATTATTGTAACTCTGACATGCTGATTTGTGAGAAAATTTAATTCATTTTCTTTCAACCACAATGAAAGTAAATGAAGAAAAGATAAATGATGACAATACTGTAAAGATGAATTTGATGCCTTTGGGTAAGAAAAATGAAAAGCATATTGTATTCATGGTGTTTTAACTAAAACCACATACTTAATCTAAAAAGTAAAATCCCACAGATGCTGGCAATCTGAAATAAAAACGGTGCTGGAAAAACCCAGCAGGTCTGACAGCATAAGACCATAAGATATAAGAACAGGGGTTAGCCTTTTGTGTCTGCTCCACAATTTGGTAGAATCATGGCTGATCTGACCATTCCTCTCATCCACTTGCCCGCCTTTTCCCTGTACCTCCTGATTTCCCAACTGATCAAGAATTTATCTATGTCAGCCTTAGATGTATACAAGGACTCTGCCCCCACAGCCCTTTGTTAAGGAGTTCGAAAGATTCTCAATCTCTGTGAGGAGAAATTGCTCCTCATCTGAGTCTTAAATTAGCACCTTTATTCTGAGACTACGCCCTTTGGTCCTAGATTCTCCCATGAGGGGAAACACTTTTTCAGCTTTAATCCCGTCAAGCTCCCTAAGAATCTTATGTTTCAATGAGATTAAAGTTTAGAACAATGCAAGTTAATGAGCAGAAGTCCAACTTGCTTAGCCTTTGCTCATAAGACAGTTCTTCCATATTTGGGATCATCCTAGTCAACTTTCTGTGAACTGCCTCCAATGAATCTGAGAGTTAATGTCCAGTATGATTAAAGTTTTTGAGAAGATTTGTAGCTCAGGTTGAGGATGAGGTTGTAGACTTGCTCACTGAGCCGGTGTGTTTGATTGCAGGTGTTTTGTCACATCAGTGTGCCTCCGGTGAAGTGTTGGTGTTCTATCCCGCTTGTTATTTATATGACTCGATTTGCTGGGGTGGTTGGCATTACTTGCAGTTCTGTTTTTCAGTGGTTTGTATATCTGGTCCAGTTTGTTGATGGAACTCTGGTTGGAATGCCAGGCCTCCAGGAATTCCCTGGCATGTCTCTGTTTGGCTTTTGCTATTATGGATGTGTTGTCCCAGTCAAATTCGTGTCCTCCTTTGTCCATGTGTATTGAGACCAGTAAGAATTGGTCGTGTCTCTTGGTGGCTGGTTGGTGTTCATGTATCCTTTATTGTCAGTTTTCTTCCAGTTTGGCCTATGTAATGTTTCTCACAGTCCTTGCATGGTATTTTGTATATTACATTAGTTTTATTAGTTGTGGGTATGGGATCCTTTACATTCATCAGTAGCTGTGGTAGGATGGTTGTTGGTTTGTGGGCTACCTTGATACCTAGGGGTCTGAGTAGTCTTGTGGTCATCTCTAATACGTCTCTGATGTATGGTAGGGTGACTAGTGTGTCGGGCTGTGTTATGTCTTCTTGTTGTGGTCAGTCGCAGAGGTAACGGCGGATTGTGCTTTTTGGGTATCCAATCCTTTTAAAAACTCTGCATAAGTGCTCCTCTTCTGCTTTGCACAATTCCAGTTGCTGCAATATGTTGTAGCTTGTCTGAATTATGTTCTGATGCAGCTCCGTTTATGAATGTTGGGGTGGTTGCTTGCGTAATTAAGTATCTGGTCCCTATGTGTGGTCTTTCTGTATATGCTAGTCTGGAGTTCCCTGTTGTTCTTGCATTCCACCATTATGTCTAGGAAGGCAGTCAGTTATTGTTGTCTTCTTTGGGGATTCAATTCCAGTGAGGATATTCTTTGTGTGTCGGTGGGTTTCTTCTAGTCTTGTGCGTTTGATAATCACGAAGGTGTCATCTGCACAGCGGACCCAGAGTTTGGGTTTATTGTTGGGGAGCACTGTCTGTTCTAACCTTTGCATTACCGCTTCTGCAATCAGTCTTGATATTGGGGATCCCATTGGTGTTCTGTTGATTTGATGGAATATACGGTCGTTGAAGGTGAAGTGGGTTGTGAGGCACAGATCCAGCAGTTTCAGGGTGCTGTCCTTGTTGGTGTTGTGGGGTGTCTGCCTTCCTGATTCGTCCAACAGTGTGGCAATTGTCTCGTTGGGTAGGGCAATGTTTATGGATGTAAATAGTGCTATTATGTCGAAGGATATCATTATCTGGTCCTCTCCTATTCTTGTGTCCTTGATGATGTTGTGGAATTCTTGGGAGGAGTAGATGGAGTGGGTAGTGTTGTCTACTAAGTATTTCATTTCCATTGTAGTTCTTTGGCTAGTCGATATATTGGCGTAACTGGTAGTGAGACAGTAGGTCTGAGGGGGACCCCTGGCTTGTGTATGTTAGGGAGCCCATAGAAGTGGGGTGTGTTGGATCCCTCTGGCCACATTTTTTTGGTAGTCTGTCTTGCTGATACTTCCTGAGTTGTGTGATTTTTTATCAGGGTTGTTGTAATCCAGTTCTCTGACTATGATGTTGGATCTATTGCCATCTCTTGGTCGGCGTCGGTAGCTGCTAGCAGTGCATTAACTTTCTTGAGTCTCAATACACACGGACAAAGAAGGACACTAATTCGACTAGGACAAGACATCCATGATAGCACAAGCCAAACAGAGACGTGCCAGGGAATTCCTGGAGGCCTGGCATTCCAACCGGAACTCCATCAACAAACACACTGAACTGGACCCAATATACAAACCACTGAAAAACAGAACTGGAGGTGATGCCAACCACCCCAGCAAAATGAGGCATATAAATAACAAGCAGGACAGAACACCAGCATTCACTGGAGGCGCACTGATGATGTTACCTAGCAGGGTGATGAAATGTCTGCAATCAAACACACCAGCTCGGTGAGCAAGTCTACAACCTCATCCAGTATGACTGTTGATCAGAACTGAAGAAGAAAATGAGTTTAATCAATTGTATCTGATTAATAAAAATTATGTTAAGGGACTTGCAAGTCTCAAATTTAATGCAGATCTCTGCAAACTAAATTTAGTAGTTAGAAATTAAAATCTCTGAGAGTGTCTTGGAAATAGACTTCAATAAAGAGTTCGTGTATATATGGCAGTCAGTGTATATTGCAAACTTTAAAAAAAGGACATCAAGGAGGTGGAGGTGTCCATATATATCTTCACAGAATATAAACTCTGTAAGGAATCAGACAATATATGATGTATCATAATGCTATAAATGACTTCCAAAGCAGTGGTAGTTAAAAATGCATATCCCTGAACTTGTCAAAATTGGCTTAATATTAAAAATAAGTAGTTGTTAGATATGTCAGCTTCACGTTAAGAAGTCAAATATAAATTGAAATCAATATTAAAAAAAACACGTTTGACAGGTAGCATCAAAGTCAGGTAGGGGGATGGTGGTGGAGGAGGAACAAAGGGCCTGTAGATTTTTCTCTTGGGTCTTGGTTTGCCATTGTCATTTCTGATGCCAAGGTCAGTGCTATGTTGTCCAATCTAGTTTCATTCTTTACACTTTGCAGCAATTTTTATACTACTCAGTGACTTGCTAGTCCATTTCAGAGGGCAGTTGAGAGTCCACACATTGCTATGGATCTGGAGCCACATATAAGGCCTGACTACTTAAGGATTGAAGATTTTCCTCCCTAAAAAACTTCAGTGAACTAGATTTTAGAATCATTGACAATGGCTTCAAGATGGTCATAATTATTTAGACTTCCTTTCAGTTCCAGATTTATTGATTAATAGAATTTAAATTCCTCAAGTTGACATGGTGGAATTTCAATTCATTTTTCCTGAGCATTTATGTATTTTTGCCACTGTCTCCCCTATTATTACAAGCCAGCATGTTTAAAAATTACTTGGATTGCTGTTAACAATCATACAAAATATATTTCTGGATTTTTAAAACTAAAAAATTCAGGTCAATTATCAAACTTTTAACTGTTAGTAACAGATCTTTCATAATTCATGATTTCTTTAAAAAAAGTTAGATTTACCTGATAGGTTCAAAGTAGTCTGTTCAACAGTTCATTATCTGTCACTTGAATATACATTTATTCAGCAGTTATATATTGTAAAAGAGATTTTGTGGAACCCCATATATTATGTCTAGCAAAAGCCTGAGTAACATTTGAAATGGCATTTACCAGTCAACCTCTCATCACTTCTTCTTCTAGATTTGAAAGAACGGTGGGCACCACATGACTTCCAGCTGACGAGTGATCGTCAAGAATCTTTGAGCAGTCGGCCTTCATTATCATCTGTTTATTCTGGCAGAGACATGAGGGAAGCAAGAGAAAATGATGCATCGAGCAAAATGGGTATAGATACTATGGTAGGTTTTTGTTGAGTACCAAACAGGAAATCATCATTTCTAAAACAAAAATAGAAAGTGCTGGAGAAACTGAACTGGTCTGCCAGTGTTTGTAGAGAGAAATACAGAGTTAACATTTCAAATCCACTGTCCTTTGTCAGAACTGAAAATAGTATTTATGCTGATGACAGTTGGGTGGCGAGAGGTTGGTAGGGTGGGGTTGGAAGGAGAGAGATAGAGTACATGGAGAAGGTGCCCAGAGAGAGAGGGAAAAGAGGGATAAGCAAAGAAAGAGATTGCTGATGATAAGCCGAGAGAGATGAACGCTGGGTAGTCTGCTAATGGGAAGTGTAAATGGTTGAAACTGGGTTGGCTATGCTGGGAGCAACCAATGCAAAACAGGACCTAGGGGTGTGGGGGTAGATAATGAACGTGGAGGGGATTCACATTCTAAAATTGTTAAATTCAATACTAAATCCTGAAGCTGTCAGGTACGTAGGTGGATGAAGAGTTGGCGTTGAGGCTCACCTAGGGCACTGCAGCAGGCATGTGTCTGAAATGTTTGCATGAGAACACAAGTGATGTTTTGAAGTGGGAGGTAATTGGAAGGGTGGCGTCATTCTTTATGGATAGAGCATATGTGTTTGGCAAAGCAGTCACACAAAATCTACATTGTGTTTACAGAGTGTCAAGGAGCTCACCTTGTGAGCAGTGAATACAGTAAACTACATTACTTGTACGCTATTCAAATTGCTGCCTCACCTAGAAGGTGTGTCTGGAACCTTGGATAATGAGGAAGGAGAAGGCAAGTGTTGCACTTTCTGCGATTGCATGGAAAGGTGCTGTGGGAAAGTGTTGGGAGTAGAGGAGGAGTGACCAGAGTATCCCAGAAAGAATAGTCTCTGTGGAATATTGATGAGAGGGGAAGGGAACATGTGTCTACTGATGGCATCCTGCTGTAGGTGACTGCTTATGATCCTTTGGATATGGAAGTGGGATTGAAAGTGAGGACCCTGTTGTTGTGGGAGGGGAGGAAAGGGATGAGGGGTGTTCTGATGATGCTATCTTTCTCAGGAGCCCTTCGAAATATCCACCTTTTTCTTCAGTTGAGGATTCCCTGCCACTGGTTTACGGTGCCCTCAGCTGTGTCTGACTCATTTCTCGTATTTTTGCCCTTACTTCCTACCCTCCTGCATTCAGGAGGGACCATTTAACTACGGGACATTCTGGTCCACTCCTCTCCTGCTCCCAACACCTCTCTCCCTGAGACCATCTCCACATACTACCAACCCCACTCCCCCCAACACCACCAAAAAAAATGTCATCAGCATAAATATCCCCCCTTTCCAGCTATTTTCAGGTCAGACGAAGGGCTGCTGAGCTTGAAATGTTAACTCTGTTTTGCTTTCTACAGATGCTGCTAGACCGGCTGAACTTCTCCAGTGTTTCCTATTTTTGTTTCAGATTTTCAGTATTTTTTTTATTTAAACATCATTTCCAGTTGTTCTTTTAGTATCCCATTTGAAATAATAATCTTTCTATGGAAGTGGTTATTAAATGTGTAATTATTAAGATTTTCCAAGTCCGATATTCAGTAAGTATATTGCCACCTTTTTAAAAGTAATTAAATTTTTGATTTTTATTAGTTAATTCAGCATGTAGTATGTGTGTATGAGTTATTACAAAAATCTGCATACTTCAAGAGACAGGCCAAATGCATCAAAATGTCTTATCATTTTCTCAGAATGGATGTGTACAGGTACTTGGATAATTATATTAAATCTGGACGACATTGGATTTACTATGTTAGACTTTTTAGTGAAATGGAGTCAATGGGTGAGCAATATTCTTTTTATTTTGAGACATACGTTTGAAAGATTTTTCTCTTCGGTTAAACAAGGAAAATTGTAGAAATTTTTTTCTTTAAAATTACTTAGGTAACAAAATAACAGATGAGTTTTTTTTTTGCTTAATTTCTAAGAACACCCTAGTCTTGAAGACTCTCTTCTGGATATTTTGGATTGTCACTAATGGGATCTACCCAGATACCATCCACATGCAAACAATGGGAGTTGCAACTTACGACTGATCTGAGAGCAGCTGTACTTTTGAAAACAGAAACAAGCAGGGTAGCCAGCAAATATAAACATAACAGACAGGACTGAAATATTACATTTTAACATTAACATATTGAGAAAAACGGACATGTAATATCTGTCTTATAACAGACAGATTCATAGTATTCAAGTGAATTCACGCTTGAAGCCAAAATTCTATTGCTGGAGTAGCTGACTTTACGTGACTAAGTAGTATTCCTGTCTGTGGAGAATCCAGAATTAAATCAGTTTCTATTTTGACAAGGATGAAAGGAAAAAGAAGAGTTCTCTAATTGGAAGATTTCTTCAATAATGTAAGGTTCAATAGACCCCAGTCTTTCTTGCATTGACCTCTGAGGTCTGTGTATGCAGCAACTTTAGGTCAGTAACGTCCAGAACTGAAAGTTAATGTGTCGATTGGTGGGTGTGGAGTCCTGAGGGGCTGCGCAGCTTAAATTTGCATAGCTAACATCAGCCATGCTTTTCATCAGTAGGAATAGCATTATTCTTCTACAGAGTGATCTAAAATAGTCCTTATAGCCTACCTTATCTAAAATGGTCATTATTTAAATAAATGGGGAACCAGAGAATGCTAATGTTTTGTTTTTTAAAAATATATGTTAAAATATTAGATACAACTTGAAACAGTCCTGCTGATTTTCACAGCAATAGAACTTTGGATTTATTCTGTTTTTTTTAATATTTGGAGAAACACTTGATTTTGTAAAGTGTGGGTTCTAACAGTTGCACTGTACCTGTTTGCAAGTGATACTCTAATGTTAGCAATATTTTTAGTTTCATTAAACTATGTTGTGGTGTTAGAATTTCAATTGCTGTATAGTAAATGGCAACACTGAGTTGCTTGATTAATTGATGTGTTTATTATCCCTGGAATGGATGCGCAAGTAATCTAAACATAACAAAGTATCTATCTCCAAATTTTTACACAATACATAAAAGAGAATGAGGAAAAAAACCCTAAAGCCCGTGAATGCTGAATCTGCTCAACAGAGGGATGCTACGTTATGTCCTGTATTAGCTCTGCTAACCTATGAAAGAGCATAAGAAAGTAAAATAAGTTCAATCTTGTTTATGCTTGGGTTTTAGCTGAACTGAAATGCACATGAATTTCAATTTAAAACAATGTACAGAATAAAACATTTATTTGCATACACTTATAACAATAAGCCCTGTAAACATTGAGTTAAAGACTGATTCTATTAAATCTAGTATATTTAAACTATGCAATTAAAACAAAAAACATTTTTTAAATAGGAGATTGAACCATCAAGAAGTGGACAATATCACAGTTACCTTGAAGAAGGTAAAGCTTTCCTGTAGAATTTGAATTTAAGCTGTATTATTTATTTATTGGTAATACACTCTTAAAGCATTAATTTCTACTTTTATTTCTAATATTTGTTCATTCAAGACAAGAAGTACACAGTTTTGTGTCAGTAATTGAAAATTCAAGGAGCAGCAATCTTGAATTCATGCCTCTCATGTCTGTTGTGGACTGCTGCAGCTCCCTGCTATTTCATGGTGCAGTAAAATTCCTGAAAATAGTTTCACATCGTCCAAAGCGTTACTTACAAGTATTGCAAAGCCACTGGTTGTCTTGGATTGTAGCAGGCCATTGACATTTGTTGTGATTTTTCTCAGCACTTACATATAGAAATATATCATACAGAAAGATCTAAATCCTCATAGGTTTTATGGAGATGATAGTGTAGTGGTAATATTCCTGGCTTAGAAATCAAGAGCCCTGGGGATGTGGGTTCAAATCTCACATGGCTGCTGGTGAAACTTAAACTTAATAAAATCTTGAAATGAAAGCTTCCAGATTGGTGATTGTTGTAAAAATCCCTAGTTCACAAATGTTCTTTTAGATAAGGAAGTGTACAATCCTTACCAAGTTGTCTACATGTAACTCCGGACTTGAAGCACTATATTTGATTCTGAACCATCCTCTATAATCACCTAACACACCATTCAATTCAAGAGCAATTAAAGATGAACAACAAATCTTTGCCAGCAATGCTCCTGAACCAAAATAATAAAAATTGTAATTATTTTAGATTATTATTGCTTATTGTTGGTTCATCAATTAGCTTTGGTCTTCACCCATATCCAAAGACTTCTCATTCTCGGCTTTTTTTTAAATTGTAAATTTTAATGGTCTTCCTCCCATGGTGTAGTTTTACAGGATTTTCTAAAGGTACAAGTATATTATTTGATGAATTTTTCTCTACAAAATTTCCTCCTTTTATCATTGTTAGTATGGTTCAAAAATATACCTTTGTTCCTTGTTGTGGATATTCATTGTTTAGTGAAGTTGTTATCACTGAAACAGTGTTATCATGGAAGTCCCTCTACCTTCAACAATCTAGTATTGATAGGCTCATTCTGGTTCCTGTACATTAGCAAGGCATCAAAGCTGCTCAGAAGTATTCTGCCAAACTTCAGTGCAAAATTATTGTGTACCAAAATCAGCAAAAACATCACTTGCTGTTTGTTATAATTTGATAGCATAAAAAAACTTTACATTTATATAATTTTTGTCACACTTGATATGCAATCAAGTTGTGTGAAGTTACAGTCATGTATCAGGTATGGTGCCCAAATTGTGCACAGCAAGATCTGTTCTTTGTGATATTGATTGTAACAGGACTGTTGGTCAGAATACCAGGAAATCTCCCATATTATGTAGTGACATGGGATCTTTAGCATTCCCATTAAACATTGAGTACCAAATGTTACAACTATATTTAGTGATTTGTTTTAACCCCCAATTATATAATTTGGAATATTATTTTTAATTAGGCACCTGATAATTATAAAGAATAGAATGAAAATAGCATGATATAAATTATGAAGATCTGAATACAGTCGTGTAATTTGGGGAATATTTGTAATGTTTGATCTTTGATTTTTGCTAGAAATATTACCTGCCTCATGAATTAAATATTGTTGTAAGATAGCTTTGATTAATCAAGGCAAAAAAAGGTTAAGAAATACACTTGTGCAAGGGAGAATTGCATACCTTTCCTAAGTACAGCAACCAACCCAAATAATTTTCAAAGAGCAACCATTCAAATTAATTTAATAAAACCAAATAAGTCTACTTTTCTGTCACTGTAAAAGTGCTGGCCATCACCATCTGTTTTTACTGGCACCTTTTTTCATGATTTTGATACTAAAATATAATTTGGGATCTGTTTTTAGCCAAACAGAATGCCATAACATTTATCCTATTTCAAAATGGAGACTTGGAAAGGAGAAGTAGGTTTCAAGCAGGTTATTTTTATTTAAAAAGTCTCATCTTTATTCAATTTAATTTTTACAAAATGAACAATTCATTTGGTTAGATATAACATTTAAAGTTAACATTTTAAAAGACTAGAGAATGGAAATTTAAAAAATGGTCTCGAGAGGCAGAAGTAAAGTCTTTTGAATAATTTTACTACTTAAAATTGTTTCTTGAGCATTTAGTTTTAGTTTTGGGTTTGCAGCAAAAGTTATTTCTGGTGTTTATGTAGCTTTTTTATCTGTATTGACAAGTGATAAAAAAAAATCCGAAGGAATTCAGAGTTTTCCTGAAGCTTTTGAGATTCTATATTTAAGACTTCATGTGACTAGAACTACAAAGGTAATAATCTAAAGACAGTTTTAGTTGTAGAATGATTCATGGGTTTTGTTATAATTTGTTTGTCTTTCAGACGATAATAAAACCTATCTTTCACCATCTCGCTCATCTCTACGTTCTGTTGGAAAGAGTGTTTGTAATCGACCCAGGGAAGGATTCAGAGTAACATTTTCAGATAAGATTCTGGATTCCAATACTGACGACAGCAATATCCAGAAAAGTTTTATCAATTCAGATCTGCAGTATGACCCTTCTTCAGGGTATAATAAGAAAGAAAGCTTGCTTCAGACCAGGGAAAGAAACCTTACAAAATACACAGATACTTCTGTGAAAGATTCTTCAGCAAACATTGACATAAACAATTTTTTGTCACATGATTACCACAAGCAATCAAACATGGATACAAAAACATATCAATCTACGCTGGAGCCTCAGAATTCTTATTTAAACCGTCAAACGGATAAACCAAGCATTGGAACGCACAATGACAGATCATTTAAAACTAATTCAGGTAGTACAAATGCTACCCTTTGTAGTTTTGTTTCTTTACCTGCCCATTAGTTGTAGTTTGATTTTTAAATTTATTTCCATCTACTTTCTATTGATACATCAATAGTGTTTAAATAAGCTTTATGTATTTGTAATGTTTTTCTTACTATCTGATATTTACCACTAAGGTATTATTTATAAAAATAAATGTTACCAGCTTTTGTTTAAGCAGGTTTTTTGCTCACAATTTCTCTGAGGGGAAAGTATACAGAGTCAGACTCCCCCATATCTATCCAGTTCCCACATGCTGATGACAACATTAAGTTGAGGAAAATCAAATCAAGGTCAAGAAAGTGTGTTGGAATGCTACTGAAATGTTATTAATTTAAAACAAAAACTCAAAAAATACTAACATAATTCACATTTGCATAACATATTTGTGACAGTGAAGACTTTATTCCAAACATAGATGTAGTAATTTTCCTGTATCTGACAGTGGTTGGGAGATGGTGTCTTAGGAGGGATGTGCTACCATTTGAGTAGTATCAACATGGGAAGTAAAATATTTCATTCTTCCATAGCCATGGTTTCTTACCCACTGTGGCTGACAGGGCCCTCGACCGTGCTGACCAATCACCTATGCTTCCACCCTGTCCCTTCTCATCACTCACAACAGCGTGATTAGGTCCCCCTTGTCCTCACTTTTCATCGCACCAGCTTCCGCATTCAAAGGATCATCCACCGCCATTTCAGACAACTCTAGCAGAATGCCACTACAAAACACATCTTCCTTGTCTGCATTTTGCAGGGATCATTCCCTGTGGGATACTCTAGTCCATTTCTCGATGACAACCAACACCACACCTCCTTCCCACGCCACCTTACCGTGTAACTGCAAGATATACAACACTTGCTGCTTCCTTGCTCAACATCCAAGGGCCTAAACAGTCTTTCCAGGTGAAGCAGCATTTCATCTGTACCTCATCCAGTCTGGTCTACTGCATTTGCTGCACCCAATGTGGTCTATGCTACATCGGAGAAATCAAATGCAGACTGGATGACCGCTTTGCAGAACACCTCTGGTCCGTGCGCAAGCATGACCCCGACCTTCCCATAGTTGGTCATTTTAACATCATCCTGCTCACATGTCCACTTGTCTGTTCTCAGCATGCTGCAATGCTCCAGCGAATTACCGTGCAAATTGGAGGAAAAACATCTCATCTTCAGACTAGGCATTTTACAACCTTCTGGGCTTAGTATTGAGTTCAAGACTTTCAGATTGAGAACACACTCCGATTTCTTCCCTTTCTTTAGCTTTACTTGTCGCAGTCGCAGTCGCATTCGCCTTCACCATGTCCTCTCTCCCCTCCAGCCACTCAAGTTTGACCACCTGTTCTTTCCAGTTTGGCAGTTGGACACACCATTGTTCTCCCATTCTCACATTCCAATCACTTATTCTGCACTATCATCACCCTTTCTCCCCCAGCACTCCACCCCCACACTATTGCATAAAACCTGCCCCTCCACACTTCACATCAGCTCTGAAGAGTCATCTAGACTCAAAATATTACCTTACTATCTCTCTCTCTCTCTCGTCTCTCTCTGTGGATGCTGCCTGACTCGCTGTGATTTCCATCATTTTTTGTTTTCAGTACAGATTCCAGCATCTGCAGAAATTTGCTCCTATTTGAAATGAATATTGTGTTTTGTGTTGATTAGAAAACAATTGAGTAAAAATCGAAGTGCCTCCAGCAATATTGTGGTAGCTGAAATTTTGATATTCAGAGCATCACTATCATGTATCCTCCCATAGGTACATAGTTAAGAAAGGACATTAAAGGAATATAGTGCATTTATCCACTGTATATATTGAATTAGAAAAATGAATTAACATTTAAGGAAGCTCCTGACCATTTGCCCTCATTTTTTTTTCTTAATCTGTCCAGACTTGAAAACAAGTAGCACATATGGAATCAGAAAAAATACCTATGTAGATGACGGTGCTAGTAGTCAGAGATCAAAAATGACTTCTAGTGGCTTAATACCACGTCATGGAACTTCATCATCTGACCACTTACTTGATCGGCAAAGTTTGGTTTCACCTGCCAGTTCTTTCACATCCCTTTATTCCAATAGTTCAAAGAGAGGTTTTATTGAGCATATGAGTACAGAATTTACAACCAACAAGAACTTGGAGAGACGATCGCAACTAACCACAGCCAATGTAGAAAATTTTGAGTCTAAATTAGAACCGAAGAAAACAAGCAGTTTAAGTTCACTATCGTGCATACAGCCAAGTTACGATAGGAAGGTAATAAACTATACTTATTACCATCAAAAATATTTTTTCTGAGCTTATTTTCTCCTAGTGTACACAGTCAAGTTTTTCTCCAGCATTAGGCAATTTGATACGATTATGTAGACTCAAACATTAAAACTATTAGTTGATTCTGTTTGTAAACCCTAACCCACAACATTTATCACCATGTTCCCTGTCACTGACCTTGCTATGGCTCTGAGATTTTGCCATAAGGAGAAGAGGAACCCATGTAGTCTAATCCTCAGGCCAGATTAATTCTAGCGTTTTGCTAAACTGCAGCAGTGGCTATCCTTCTAAATAATTAATTGACTATGAAATGCTTTGCCACATTTTGAGTTACTGAAAAGTTCTTTCTCTTTAATTTGCTTGTGCTCCTTGCCACATATGCAAAAAATAAAAAAATGTTGCAAGTGCACAGCACAAATTGGTCACTCTCCACCAAAGAGAACACATTAAAATTTTGAGTTATTCTATCATCAGAACACATGTCTATAGTTGGTCATTTTCTAGCCATCTATTTTTGATCAGCAGTTTGTTATTTCAGGTTAGTAAATCCATATTATTGTGTAAATTAAGCTGTGCTTTTTTTCAAATATATTTCTAAACATTTAGCCTTTTCCCAGTTTAGAATTTTCACATTTGATTATATCATGTTCTTTTCCCACAGTTATTCTAGATTTGATAATAATATGATTGGTGTTCCACTACATCATGTCTACTTGTGCTCTTTGGTCCCCAGAATCAGATCTAACACGGATTCCTTCCTTGTTGGACAGGAAGAGCACTGATCAATAAAATTATCTTCCGTGTGCTTCAGGAATTCCCCTCCCTCTTTGCCCTTTATGCTGTTACTATTGAGTTCACATCAGAATGATTGAAGTTTGCATTATCAGTATTTTACAGCTCTTGTACAGTATCTTCCTGTAACGTGCCTGAAAATCTGCTCCCGACCTCCATCCCACTGCCCAATATTAAACTCCAGAAGTGTATAGTTCCTTCATTGTTCTTTAATTCTAACTAAATATATGTTATCTTTAATCTTTCTTTGATCAATACTGCCAAACTTCCTTTTTGTCATGTTACTTTCACTGTTTTTTCTGGTTATGCTGTGGCCAAGAATATTAACTTTTATTCCTCCTCCTCCTCCTCTTTATGTCAGGCCCTGTTATTGCCTTAAATAGCAACTTGTGCCCCTGACACACTAAACTTCTATCCCACACTATACATGCAATTGTGCACATGCGCTCCAAGGCTGACATGTAATAGTCTGTCTGTCCCCCTCCTTTTTCTGAACTGTTCTTTATTTTTCCCTCCCATGCACCTATGCATTTTGGTTTCTTTTCACAAATATTTGTCTTGGCTGCCCATTCATGAAGTCACCTTCCCAAAAGGAAATTTTTCCTAATCAACTCAGATAGAATCTTTTCATCTTAAACAAATCCCTCTTACCTAAGGAATGTGAAGCCTGCCTTCCTGCACCATTTCTCCAAACCAACGATAATTTGTTTTGGCTTACTAATACCTTGGTTACTGTTGATTACTGCTGAACAATCTTTCTTATGCTGAAAACTAGCTAATATAAATATGATGTTTCATTCCTTCAGCATTATTATTTGATATTTTAAAAATTCAGTAATATTGTATTTTTATGTTTTCTTCCCTCTTGAATCGAATCTTTGTTTTCCACTCCCCTTTATACTTCTGTCTCCGCTTTAGATGGTATTACTCATTTAACAATTCTTCAATCAGATGCATAAGAAAGATACACAGTTGCTTGTCTCATTCAAACATAGCAGATGCCCTCCCAATTCCATCTCCCACTTGCAGCAACTCGGAGTACTGGATCTCCTGGAAATTAAATGGGCATGGTCAGTCTGCTAGATGTATCCAAATTCATTATACAAGTAAAATGACATGCCAAATCATCATGTATCCAAAATTAGAATTGGTGATTTGAAATGTGTTCACAGTCTGAAGGTGATAAATGCAAATATTAACATATATTATAAAACAAGCGTTTCTATGTTTCTCCCTTCATTAGCAAACAGCTCTGAATAAATTGCATGAAGTAGAGGAATGTGGTGATTATCGTTCTCGAACGCCAGTTGGGTTGAGTTGTAGTTTCTCTGCAAGTGTTTCCTCCCTCTTGCTGAACCTACTTGATCTAGTGGATCAACATTGGAATGGTTTAAGATCCCTTCAGTCAAACCAGAGATTTCTTAGTAAGCTGGCTACTTTGCTTCCTTTTTGCTATATATATATATATATTCATGTAGATTTTAATATAGAGATTTTTAATTCAAGCTAGATGTTTTACTTCAGGTGGCAATATAATTTGAACAAAACTTTGCTTTTTAACATTTGGTTATTGCCTGGAAATATCTTGAAGGGGCAATTGCATTTTGGTGATTATTAGGGAATTACATTTGCACAATTTATAAACTTTAATATTTTTGGTTCTTTGACAAATAATTTGTCATGATTTGGATCAAAATTCTCAGATGTCATTCTGAAAAGACTAACAGATTAACAATACTGAAGAATACTAAAGCATTGGAATTCAGATGAAATGGCTATACAGATTTCTTGAGATAATGAAGTTTTGATTAGACAATTCAAAAGCCATATTGCTCTGATCCTTCTAATTTTAGCACAGCAGGAAATAATTTGTCATCGTCTTGCTCAGAGTAACTTATTTTTGCTCACTCATGGTGATGATATGGCAAACTTTATTTGAAGGAGTAATAGTGAAATTAAGTTGAAATATTGCAAGATTTACTGTGATTGTGCTTAGCAGCAACAATTCTGAAATAAACTAGCTTGTTGTTTAACGTTCATCCTTGTATCACTAAAATGTTATCAGACTTTTTTAGCTTTTGGAAGCTTAGAGAAATTCATCTGGCCAGATCATTATGTAGCTTATATAAAAGATTTCATTAATCATAGTACACAGTGGGCAGTAAAGGCAAACTGATTGTAATGGAATGCCACCTCTGATGTTCAGATTTGTAGGGTTTGATTTGGGAAATGTTATCATTTATACCATGACAGTCTGAGATTTTGTACACATGCTTAAATATCAACATTCTTAAAATATAAGATTAAAACATATAAGTTAAACCAACCACATAACACCTAACAGAAATCATATACTATATTATGAACTTCAAAAAATATAATCTTTGATGATTGGATCATTTTCCTTGGGTCAGTGTCTCAATAAATTATAAGAGCAATAACTTGCAGAATACCTTTAACTTAGTAAAATATTACAAGGTGCTTCACAGGACTATTATCACATAAAATTTGAAACTGAGCCAAATGCGCATATATCAGATTGGCTGATCATATGCTTAGCTAAAAAGATGCATTTTAAGGAGTATCCTAAAGAATGAAAGAAAGAAGGAAGAGAAGCTTGTGCAGAGAATTCCAGAGTTTAGGGTCATGACAACTCAGGACCATGCAATCAATGATTGATCAATTGAAGTTGGGATTGTTCAAGAGGCCAGAATTGGAGGAGTGCAGAAATTGGAAGTTGAACTGGATTATGCATGGAAAAACTTTGGGGTCAGGTATGACACGAAGGTTTGACAACAGTCTAATTCAATCTCAAGCAGTTGTGAAGGAGTGGAATTGACTTAGTTGCTCAAGAAGAGTTTGTGGCAGGTCCAAAAATAATTTATTTAGAGGAAATGTCTGCTTTATCCTGTACAGAATGTGCAGAGAAACTAATTTAGAGTTAGTGGAGAGATTGGGAGAAGTGACGGTAATGTAATGTCAGCATAAATGTGTTAATTGCTGCAGTGTTTTTGCATTATATTATTGAGGCAGCAAACTGATGAGAAGTAGGATGCTAAGAATAGATTTCGGTGAAGTATCAACCTGAGAGCAGCAAGGGAAGCCATTGAGGCTGATTTTCTGGCTCTGATTGGATAGATAAGAATTGAACCAGGCGAGTACAAACTTACCCAGCTGAATGATATTAGAGGAAGTGTTGGATAATGTGGTCAACTGTACTAAAGGCTACAGACAAAAAACACAAGGCTGAGGAAGGATATTTAATTTTTGTAGTTACATATCATGTATTTTGCAACTTTATTGAAAGCTGTTTTGGTGCTGTGATTGGCGGAAACTTTATCGGAGGGATTTAAAGATTTTTTGGAAAAATGAGAACAGATTTGGGAAACTGCAATGCTTTCAAGAACTTTGGAGAGGAGATTGAGATTGTAAGGACGGATGGATCAAAATTTATTTTTGAGGGGAGAGATGGTGATAAATTTCAGGGAGGTGGGGACAGTTTGCTCTCGTGTCACTTGATACTGTTAAAAGGAAAGTAGAATTTGTTCCACAAGCAGTCCTCACAACTCCTGCTACACAAAAGGCCCATTCTGTGATCAGGGTCATTCATTGGAATGCAGGCTCTGAACTGACACGTTGTCTTAACATGGTGCTTCCATAATTAAGAAGGGAGATTCTTCTGTCTTTGTTGAGACAGCAAGCAGATTTCACCCATCTTAAGTGATGCTCGTTAACACATGTACTTAACATCTTGTGGAAGAACTGGCAGCAAAGCTTTCAGCAGAGGTAAAATGAGAAGAACATTTGCAGTTGGCTTGTCTCATTTTTGACAAAGGGAGCTACCTTGAATTGATATCCTGAGCTAGAAAAGCAATGTTTCTATCATAGGTTTTGGGACAGAGGGTAGTGAACAGACAGAGATCACAATTAGTCTCTTCGCAAGAAAACCTCTTGCATATTTTAGCATTTGCCTATTCACTTTCATATCATGAAATACAGGATCCTGGTGAAGGTGATATTTTCAACTTTTAATGGTTTAAATAGTTGAACAGCCTTCCTCAATCTTAGCTAGTGTGGTTTTAAAATTCTAAATGTAAAGGTTGAATTTTAATCAAGGTTTGTAGACAACAGTATCATCTTTCTTCAAAAATAGTTTGAACTTTTCAAAAATTTCCTTGACCACTTTTATTGTATGGGTTTGGTTTGGAGCTACTCTTTTCTCCTGAATTGCATAGTGTTCAATTTCTTACATGGGCTTTCAAGGCTGTTTCCTTCAGTCAAAGAACTAAAAGCACATGCAATCCAGACAATATGTTGAATGACCAAGTAGGGTAAGGGCACCTGATTAAGATATTTGTATAAATTAGACAATGCTCCTAGGTAATATAGATTCCCTACATAGGATGATTAGAAATTAAACATATTTATGAAATATATACTACAGTGATATTTCATTAGTTGTTGCAGAAGAGTTTTCAGCTTTAATTTGTTGGTGTGTGTTTTATTTGTATTCTGCAATTTAGCAACATAATCATATCTTTTCATTTGTTATGTCTTATAAACATTTATATTCAGTGATAGTTGAGGTATCATATATTATTGTTTCCAAAATATGAAGATATGTTAGACTTGATTTTATTTTCATTCTTTGCGTTATACTTAAGTATGTATTATTTTAAATAATTTACCATTGTTCATTACTGCCCTCTACTATAGCTCCAGCTCATGAACTACTGTCCAATTTGGTTAACTCAGTGTCCGTATCAAAAATTCAAAGTCTAGAAAAAAAAGTTAAAGCATTGACTGAAGAAAACAAATCTTTGCTGACCAGAACAGGGTTTGGCCTGGACACTGCAGAATTACAGCGTGTAAAGCATCAATTGACTCAGAAACAAGATGATCTGGTAAGTAGCATTTTTACACTTCCTGATTATAGATCTTGAACAAAATTAGTTTGACTCCCTGTTTAAAATTTTGATTTGAAACTTCAATAGGTCAGTGACTGTAAATGTTCCATTTGCCAGTATTTTCTAGTTTGATTAATTTTAGTTGCATCAGAACCTGATTTCTCTGCTGCTCTAAAAAGATTTTCCCAGCTCCTGATTTAAACGTTATGTGCTGATTAGCTAAGCAGAACCATGTTTCAGTATTTCTGAATAAAACTTGTCGCAAACTTGTATATATTTCTGTAATTCCGCAAGACATTCAAAGCTATTTTGAAGAAGAATCATATCGGACTTGAAAATTTAACTTTCTTTCTTGCTCCGCAGATGCTGTCAGACCTGCTGAGTTCGTTCAGCATTCTCTGTGTTTGTTTCAGATTTTCGGCACTTGCAGTATTTTATTTGATTTCAAAGATTAGTCAGAGATACTGTAAATTAGCTTTAGAATATATAGTGCAAATTGCACCAATCCATTCTAGTCAGTGGCATTGGGTTTGGTAGCAGCCAGAATGACAGCCCTCTTTGAAAGGCACATTGTGCCTGATTGAAGAGCCCATCATTGGAATGGGATGTTTACCCACTTAGAGCTACAGCCTTGCCCTTGCATGTGACCTTTTCATTCCCATCTCACTATGACCCTTAGCGCACTCCATATTTATTGTATAAATCATGGTTTAGTGTACATAGGTGAGGGAACACTCATTGAATTATTACTTGACCACATTATAAGTAGACATTTATTGGTACTGGTGACTGGATTGTAGAATTAGGAGATGTACATTTGTAATGTCTCACTGATTAAATGTAAAGCTTATTCAAGATTGACTTTTGTTCTTTTGTTTCACCAAATGACTGTAAGAAATCTTAACATTGTATTCAGCTGTCTTTGAATGTCCATTGATGATCTCTGAAGCTTCAGGGCATTACTGGCAGTAGCCAGTGCTCATAGTGATGTTCATGTAATGTGTGGCATTCAGGAGTGAGATTTCCATATTAATTCTCTAAGAGATCTGATGCTGTTCATTAAAGTGACTGATTGCATTTAAAATAACATTAGATGTCCCTTGAAGTGATGAGGGTTTTCCACCACTTCAACCGTTGAGGTGAATCTGTGTCACATACACTAAATTTTAGTCAAATTGTCAGTAATATCAGCTTTCTGTATCCTCTACAGGCTTCAAAGATGTTGGTGCTCCATCAGTTGTGGCTTCATGAACATTTTTGTTTTCTGCTGTGCTGTGCCTTCAGTTGTCAATGCTCTAAACCTTGGAATTCCCTCCCTAAACCTGTGTGCCATTCGTTGCTTTTCTAAAATGCTCCTTAAAGCCTGCTACTTTGATTAAGCTTTCAACTACCTGTTCTATAACTCATTATGTAGCTTGGTGTTAAATTTTGGTAGATAATGTTCCTAATGAAGCACATTGGATGTTTTACTGTGTTAATGACATTATAGAGTTGCAAGTTTTAGTAACTGATGGAAGTGGTGGTTTAGTGAGCTGGTAATCCCGAATCATGAGTTTGAATCCCACCATGGCATGGTGAAATATGAATTCAGTTTAACAAAAATATGGAATTCAAAGCTAGCATAACAGTGACCATTGTTGATTGTCATAAAAACACCCATCCGGTTCACTGATGTCTTTTAGGGAAGGAAAGTTTTTGTTGTCCTTAACCTGGTCTGGCCTACATGTGGTTCCATATTACCGCAGTGTGGTTGACTGCCCTCTTAAATGACCTTGGCAAGCCACTCAGATAAAGGGAAATTAGGGATTGGCAGTAAATGCTGGCCCAGCTTCCCTTGAATTTTTTTTTAAAAAAAAATCAAGTTTTACCCACATTAGCATGAATAGATAATGTTATATTCAAGCTTAAATTTCTTAAGAAGCATTTCTTTTAGGAAATTAGATACTATGCTAAAACAAATTATGAATAAAATACACTATTGAGTGTTTTAATCTGTTTTCAATCTACAGTATTTCCAAATGTTGAGTCTTGTAGGAAAGTATGAAAATTTGGTGTGCTCTGTTTTATCAGAAATTCTTTTGACCCCTTCCTTGCCTCTCCCTGACCAAGCTAGAAAAAGTGGGAGAGACTCATGTAGACTTACGGTCAACTGTGCCATTATTTCATGCAGTATGAAATGGTATAATTTTAATAGTGACCTTTTCAAAATATGACACATGTACAATAATTTAGTTCCTTTTCCCAGCATCCATTTAAACAGGCAATAAGGAAGTAAAGAAAAGCAGCAGGAGGAAAGCCTTCGACCGAATAGCAGTATATATGGAGAGGAAAAAGAAATTATGACTGAAACTAACTTTTTGTTTTAATACCTTTGTAGGAAAGTTTAAGAGGAAGACTAGCAAAAGTCCTGGATGAAAACAATAAGCTGCGTTCTCAACTAACAAGTTTGGAACTTGCTAATTGTGCTGGAAATCAACTACAGAACAGTAAGAAACTTTTTTACTATGTGATTGAAAAAGACTTTACAGTTTCGTGTTATAAATGATTTTATATAATCTCAATCTTTAGTTCACTGAATTAGAGCAGCCAATTAGTAACCTTACAGAAGAAATTCATTTGAGCACATTAATAGATTCGTTGTCATTCCTTGTACACAACAGTAACCGTTTGGATATAATACATTGATGGTTCACTGTCTAAGTGCAACATTCTGAGCGGCAGAAAAAATATTCTCGGCATTCACTCACTATATTCAACCCCTTCTTGTACTTTTTTCCAATTATTGACATATTTTTTCTGCTCCAGTATTGCTTAACTAGACTTTTCTGAAGATAGTGACTCATGCAACTGTATGGTAAAACTGTGCCGAACCTGTATCTGCCATTCTGTTGTCCACAGATCATCATTCATTAAGTTCGAGCTACCAAGCAAGGAGGAAAAACTAAGATCAATTTCTTCTTTTAAATTTTCTCTCCTTCAATATCCTATTGTTTTCTTAGAAAATAAAATCTGTATTTTGTAGCATCAAAGAATTTTGCAGCAGAGAGGGAGGCTATTTGATTATTCTTTTCTTTCCTGACTCTTTAAAAGAGTTGTCCAGTTGAGTTCCAGTGCACTTTAGATCTTAATTCTTTATGTTAAAAAAAATTCTCATTTCTCATCTTTTCCTTCAATAATTATTTTAAATCTATGACCACTGGTTGTAGACCCACTTGCCACAAGAAACAGAGCAAGTGGGGAAACATTATCAAAACCTGTCATAATTTTGAGCAGCTCTATTGGGTCTCCCCTTAATCTTAATTGATCTAAGAACAATTCCAGCTTCCTCCGAATCCCATAACTGGAAAACCCAAAAATATTGCAGGATGCTGGAAATCTGAAACAAAACAGAAATTGCTGGACAAATCCCACAGGTCCAGTAACATTTGGGAAGAGAAAGCAGAGTTAACGTTTCGGGTCCAGTGACCCATCTTCGGAACTGGGTGTAACTCGGAAAAGGTTGGTAGATATGCTAGAGAAGGGGTGGGGGGAGAGATAGGGAGTAAATGATAGGTGGAGACGGAGATCAAAGAGAGAGAACAAGAGTTGAGCAGACAAAAGAAAGGGTAAAGGTCAGCCTGGAAGAATCAATACCTGCTAATAGGAACTGCTAGTGGCTGACAATGGGTTGGTTGTGGTAGCAGCCCGTCTGATGATAAGGCCTCGTGTGTAGGATTTGGGGTGAAGACACGGGAGAATGTACTCGGGGCCCTAAAAACACTGAACTGAACATTGTGTCCTGAAGGCTACAGGAACCCCCAGTAGAAAATGAATGCTGTACTCCCAGCTTGTGTTGAGCTGTGCTGCATCTCTGCATTAAGCCTGAGATAGATGTTTGCCAGGGAACATGGTGGTGTGTTAAAGTGGCAGGCAATAGGAAGCTCAGGGGAGGGGGATGTGTGTGTGGTGGTGGCGGCATCCCATTGGATGCCTCTCTCTATCTCCTCTCTCTATCTGGGCTCTATCTTCACCTCTTGTTTATTCCACCCCAACCCACCCCATCGTCATATATACCAACCTTTTCCTAGCTACAATCTGCTCTGAAGAGGGGTCATTGGACTTGAAACATTAACTTTGTTTTCTCTCCACAGATGCTGCCATTCCTGAGTTTTTCCAACAAATTCTGTTTTTGTTCCCCATAACTGAAGTTCTTTATATCATCCTGGTATGCAATCTCCATACGTTCTCCAAGGAACTGACATCCTCATTAAAGTGTGCTTGTCTGGAATTAGAGACACTTCTTCAGCTGAGCCTATTTGATCATGTGTAAAGGTTTAACAGGACTTTGTTGATTTTATATTTAGTGCCCCATTAAAAGAGCCTAATATCCAATATACTTAACCACCAGTCCACATAGCAGCGCAAGAATTAAGGAAATTTGTAAAATATTGAGAATTTTACAACTAAGCGGTTATGTAAAAGCATACATTTTAATAAAAAAGGCCATGCTCAACCCATAGCTAAACTTTTATATTGATTTTCATCTACCAAGGAACAATGATTACTTGTTTTGCAGAAGATTCTTTAACAAAATTGTTTGAAATTTTTGCTGCCGTTCTATTGTATATTCTTAGAGGACTTGCAGAAAGATAACGAAAGATTAAATTTGGAGGTTGAATACCTAAATCAGCAAATAAAGCAATACAGCAAATTACAAGAAACTGTCACCATGTTACAGGAGAGCCACAGGTAAGAATATCATGAAGAATTTTAACATAGATAATGGTCCAATATATCAGCTAAACTATAATTTTTAGGGAAAAAAATTCATACGTAAAGCATTGTGATGTCTTTTTCCAGTTTCTGAAGTTGGTAACAAAGATCTATCCTAATAACTGGTTAAGAATTTAGGAATAGGAATGGTATTACAACAAGATCAGAAGTTATTTGGGCTTGACTGTGAAGATTATTTATTCAAAGTTTTAATTGCAATAGTCTTGTTCTTACTTAGCTTCTGCCTAAATAAATGTTATGACAGCATCTTAAAACTATTGAAACAAATTATAATGTTTTAAAATTTGTTACTTTGTCTTCCTTTGATCTGCTTTACTGTGAAAAGTACTTAAAATGTATATGCAATTTAGTAGGAAACCATTTCATATTGAATACTATGGCATAACTGAATTGCAGTAAAGATGTCACCACCAGTTGTTCTAATGAAAGATGCTCGGGAAAAGGTTTTATTTGTTTCATCACTGCAGTTTCCATTTTCTGACAATTCATTTTTATTACCATTCGTAGAGTCATACAGCACGGAACAGACTCTTTATTCTAACCAGTCCATGCCGACCATAATCCCAAACTAAACTAGTCCCACCTGTCTGCATTTGGCTCGTATCTGTCCAAACATTTCTTTATCATGTACTTATCTAAATCTCTTTTAAATGTTGTAACTGTACATGCATCTACCACTTCCTCTGTAAGTTCATTCCACACACAAACTACAGTGTGTTTAAAAAAGAAACAAAAGCCTCTCATAACAACCGAAAGAACTGCGGATGCTGTAAATCAGGAACAAAAACAAAGTTGCTGGAAAAGCTCAGCAGGTCTGGCAGCATCTGTGAAGAAAAAAAGTTAATGTTTCGGATCTGGTGACCCTTCCTCAGAACTCAGCCTCTCGTGTCTTTTTTTTTAAATCTTTCTCCTCTCACCTTAAAAATATGTCCCTTAGTCTTGAAATCTCCCATCCTAAGGAAAAGACAGAGATAGTAGGAACTGCAGATGCTGGAGAATCCGAGACAACAAGGTGCAGGGCTGGATGAACACAGCAGGCCAAGCAGCATCATAGGAGCAGAAAGGCTGACGTTTCGGGCCTAGACCCTTCATCAGAAAAGGGGGAGGGGAAGGGGGTTCTGAAATAAATAGGGGAGAGAGTGGGAGGCGGATAGAGGAGAGGATAGGTGGAGAGGAAACAAACAGGTCGAAGAGGCGGGTATGGAGCCAGTAAAGGTGAGTGTAGGTGGGGAGTTAGGGAGGGGATAGGTCAGTCCAGGGAGGACGGACAGGTCAAGGGGGCGGGATGAGGTTAGTCGGTAGGAGATGGGGGTGTGGCTTGAGGTGGGAGGAGGGGATAGGTGGGAGGAAGAACAGGTTAGGGAGGCGGGGACGAGCTGCACTGGTTTTGGGATGCGGTAGGGGGAGGGGAGATTTTGAAGCTTGTGAAATCCACATTGATACCATTGGGCTGCAGGGTTCCCAAGCGGAATATGAGTTGCTGTTCCTGCAACCTTCGGGTGGCATCGTTGTGGCACTGCAGGAGGCCCAGGATGGACATGTCGTCCACGCAATAAGAGCCAAAAAAGAATCCCCCTTGTCCTCACGTACCACCCCACCAACCTCCGGATCCAACGCATCATCCTCCGACACTTCCGCCATCTGCAATCCGACCCCACCACCAAAGACATCTTTCCCTCCCCACCCTTATCTGCTTTCCGGAGGGACCACTCTCTCTGTGACTCCCTTGTCCGCTCCACACTCCTCTCCAGCCCCACCACACCCGGCACTTTTCCCTGCAACCGCAGGAAGTGCTACACCTGCCCCCATACCTCCTCCCTCACCCCTATCCCATGCCGCAAGAAGACTTTCCACATCAAGCAGATGTTCACCTGCACATCTGCCAATGTGGTATACTGCATCCGCTGTACCCAGTGTGGCTTCCTCCACATCGGGCAAACCAAGCGGAGGCTCGGGGACCGCTTTGCAGAACACCTACGCTCGGTTCGCAATAAACAAGTGCACCTCCCAGTCGCGAACCATTTCAACTCCCCCTCCCATTCCTGAGACGACATGTCCAGCCTGGGCCTCCTGCAGTGCCACAACGATGCCACCCGAAGGTTGCAGGAACAGCAACTCATATTCCACTTGGGAACCTGTTCTTCCTCCCACCTATCCCCTCCTCCCATCTCAAGCCGCACCCCTATCTCCTACCGACTAACCTCGTCCTGCCCCCTTGACCTGTCCGTCCTCCCTGGACTGACCTATCCCCTCCCTAACTCCCCACCTACACTCACCTTTACTGGCTCCATCCCCGCCTCTTCGACCTGTTTCTTTCCTCTCCACCTATTCTCTCCTCTATCCATCTTCTATCCGCCTCCCACTCTCTCCCTAGTTATTTCAGAACCCCCTTCCCCTCCCCCTTTTCTGATGAAGGGTCTAGGCCTCAAACGTCAGCCTTTCTGCTCCTATGATGCTGCTTGGCCTGCTGTGTTCATCCAGCCCTGCACCTTGTTGTCTAGGGAAAAGACACTTGTCTTTCACCTTATCTATACCTCTTATGATTTTATAAACTTGTATAAGGTCACCCCTCAACTTCCTACACTCCATTTAAAAAAAATTCCCAACATCTCCTTATAACCCAAATCCTCCATTCTGCGCAACATCCTGGTACATCTTTTCTGAATCCTCGCCAGCTTTTTAATATCCTTCCTTATAACAAGGTGACCAGAAGCGAACACAGTACTCCAGGACAGGCCTCACAATGTCCTGTACATCCTGAACATAATGTCTCAATTCTTGTATTCGAAGATCTGAGCAATGATGGCAAGCATCCTAAATGCCTTCTTAACCACTTTACCTATACATGATGCAAACTTTGAAGAACTGTGTGCCTGAACCCCTAGGTCTCTCTGTTCTACAACACTGCCCAAGGCCCTACTTTTAATTGTACAAGTTTTTTTGTCTTTGTTTGTTTTTCCAAGACGTAATATCTCACATTTATTCAAATTAAGATCCATTTGCCACTGTTCAGCCCATTAATCCAATTGATAAAGATCTCTTTGTAATGTTAGATAACTACCTTCACCGCCCACTATACCACCAATCTTGTTGTCAACTGCAAACTTACTAACCATGCCGTCTATATTCTTTCTATATTTCTATATTCTATACTCGTTTAAATATAACATATAGATTCTTACTGACGAAAGTATTTTACAGTTTTTTTTCAGCAGTCTTAACGTTCGGCAGTAATTTTTGAAAGGGAAATGGATTTATGATAGTGATTTCTCATGCTGTAGAATAGTAGAATGAAAAGTGTTAACTGTAGGTTCTAAGCACAGGGTATTGCATTTTATAAGACGCTGATAAGCAGGAATCAGGTGCTTCTCCAAATGCGGTAGAAAAGATAAACGAGGATTTACTACAGACTGCACTGGCTCATTCCTTGCACCTCGTAGCAATTGGTCATTGATGGCATGAGGAAATGGTATGGAGAAGCTTGTCTGCGAAAAGGAAAGAAGTTATACTTGGAGTTAACTTTTTAAGTGAGAGCACTTAAAATAAAAAAAAAACCTCTTGAATAAATTTTTCACTATGTCCTGAAAAGAATAACTTGTAACTTGTTAACTGAACTTATGAAAAGGAAGTTGAGTAGCAAGTTAATGGTATAATGTTACTATTGTTTTTAAAATATCATTAAATACTGGAATTCATTTTCTTGTTTATCTCCTCCTTTCCGTTTTTCTGAAAGTGGAACTCCTTACTGGGCTGTCATTTTACCAGAGTGTGTGTCAAGTCATCACATCTGGGTACCCACTTTCATTTTGTTCAAGTGATTTAAGTGTCAGGTTTGTCAATAAATGTCAAGAAGCTGTTTGAGCGATTAACTCAATTTTGTCTTTGTCCAATATTCACACTTAACATTGTTCCAACGAGAATTGCTGGCTATTAATCAGCATTAGCTGTGGGGTCTCTATTTCTGTTCCAGGGGCTGAAATCACTTAACTAATGACCCCACTACTTATGGATAAACTCACTGCACTATTCAGGAAACCAATTAGTCTAATAATTTAATGCTAAAATGTTTCATGAATCCAAAAATAATGATGGTATTTTACTATGTTTTTATTGATTTATTTATAACTTTTGGTTGTAATTTAAATGCATTTTATTTAGGGAAGAAGGAGGTTGTAAACTTTTTCTCCAGTATTGATGAAATATGAGATTATTTCTGCTCTTGTAAATTAACTTTTGTCTTGTTCCTAGATCTCTAGTATCTACCAATAATTACCTACAGCAGCAGCTGAACGTAAATAGTGCTGGCCAAAATAATGATGCACCATATCATCTTAATTCTCATCGGACGAAAGCATGGAGTAAACTCCCACCTTCAGAAATCACAGAATTGCCCTTATCATCCAAGCGTAGCTATCACAGTACCTCAGATATACTGTAATAAAACTGCTGTATAATACAGTAACTAAACTCAAAATGCCTAATTCTAATTAAATTAGTGTTTGTCGGAAATTGTATTTGAGCTAATTGTGTTTTTTTTAAGTCGGTGAAGTGTCTCATTTCAACAGAATTTGAAATTGAACTGTAAAATAAATATGCTTTGTTAATAAATAGTTTAGGCTACTTTGAAATAACCATGTACAGTTATGCTATATGTGTAATGCATTCTTATTGTGGAGTTATCACAATTAATGCATTTAGTTTGTGAACTGTACATGTTCAAAACCCAAACACTAGGTAGCAATTTTTAATCCACACAAATGAGTGACTTTCTTGTGAAGTAATCCTAATATTTCAGCTAAATTTGTCTGTGCTATTTTGTAACAAATTTGAGTTACATAATAGTGTTTTAACTTGCAATGAAATATGGATTAATGTATTACTGGTGCAAAGTGTAGATTAATTTGCACTTATTGGTTAGAATGTCATTAAAAATAACTGATTTAATGATCTTTAAACTAAAATCTGAACACTATATTTGATATAAGTAAAAATTTAGTTAAATTTCAGCATTGTAAGTTATGCAATACTTTCACCTTGTTTGCAAAACAAAATTACAATGCATTATTATTCATCAACGGATCTGAAAACTCATTACGAATTATTTCAAGTTCTTTACAATGCATTTTAGAGCAGTTGGTGCTTTGCATTAATGTTATCCACACGTTTGGTCAACAGTTTGTGTGGATTTAAAAACTAATATTATCAATGGAACCTTTAGTAATGACAGCACCTCATGGAAATCACAGCAATTATTGAGTGAAACAAACACAAAATGCTGGAATTACTGGGTAGGATAGGCAGTATCTGTAGCAAGAGGAGGAGGGTCAATGATCTGACACATTAACCCTAACTTCCTCACGACAGATAAGTATTTCAGATTTCCAACATCTGCAGTATTTTGCTTTTTGTAATCTCATCTAGCCTGCCTATTTAGTAGAAGTGTTAATCATGTTCAGACTTCTTTAAACTCTACTAAATATTGAAATCTAAGATGATAATGGAATATTTGGAACCCTAAATGCAATTCATCATAATGTTTAATAAATTAAACTGGTTTATGAAATAGTTCTGGTTTCAAGACTCTTGAAAAAAAATTAAGATTTTATCTTTTATGTACATGTATATTCCTTTCTACTTCACTTCAATAGCATGATGATTGGTATTTTATTACGAATACTGCAAAAAAGAAATTGAGTATCATCTCAGTTTTTGCATTGCATCATTCTTTTGTTATTTCAGTTGTCCTTGGATTAACAACCACTCTGCTTTTAGTAGAGTTGTTAGTCATTTTTTGCTAGTTTTCATAAAATGAATTTATTATAACCTATTTCTTGATTTTAGTGCTGAGTAAGCTGCTTAAAATATTCTTATTATGTTTTGATTATCCAGTTACATTTTTCTTATCATCTTGAAAATAAGAGGCATGTCTCTACAATACTCGTACAAGAAAATAAACTTTGAGATAGTTTCAAGATACATTTCATTTTGTTCTCTTGTACTGTTTATTTTTAGTTTGTAGTATGATGGAGATCATATGTTTTTGTCTTGTTAAATTTTTGCATTCGTTATTCCAGGACTGATTAGCTCTGAGCAAAAGTCAAGTCAGTATCAAGCAGTATTTAGTGTCTCATCTTGGGTTGTAGAATACTGAGCCCCCTTTTCTGTATCAAGAATGTGCCCCAGCCCCAACCTCAAAAAAAAGCTAATCCAGATGCAACAGTTCGTATTTTCCATACCATCTATTCTGTTACCTGATGTAAAAGTTTTGCTGAAAAGGTGCTTTTTGCTTTTCTTTTTGCTGTGTGCTGAAGTGCTTCAGGACTGAAATGACACTGCGTCATGCAGTTATTTGGTAGAGATTTTTTATCACTCAAGTTCATTTTTATATTGGAATATTTCTATTTTCAAATGTGCTTTAGTTGTGTCGTTTAATCATTATCAAAATGTTTGAAATATTTAAAGTATTGTGCACTTGTAGACATAAATACATTTTATTTATATTTTTGTGTGTAAATTTCTTGAATTGAAGTTGATCCGATTTATTAACATTGTCTTACTGATGACAGAAAAATTGAATACCTTTGTAGATTTCAAGATATTTAACAATAAAATATTTTCTAAGATTTTTGCTTTAAACTTTGTGCCCCCTTGTAGTCCAAATTCCAGTTGTTGATAGTTGATAGCTGCAATATTCTATTTAGATGATGTCCGTACCCAACAAAATTGTACTCTAGCCATAAATCAATGTGGTTTGGATCTTTAATAAATCTACTGTTGCTGACTCTTCAAGAACCTAGCAATAGTCATATTGCCTAGTTATTAGAGATTTAAAATCATTTACTGCTTAAAATAAAACCTTACTTGGAATTTTTGCAGCGATCTCAAACTTAGCTAATTTTAAGATGTCACCAATTGGCCTTAAATTAAGGATTTTGCTATTTTTGTGAGGGAGTGAAGAATGAACAGGATACAGATTCAAAGTTCACTAAAATCTTTTTCATATATGGACCATAATACCAGAATATAAACAGTCATAAGGAAGGGGTGAGACAGGGTGCTGCAACAAGTTTGCAAAAATAGATAAGAACATAAGAACTAGGAGCAGGAGAAGGCCATTTGGCACCTCGAGCCTGCCCCACCATTCAATAAGATCATGGCTGATCTTTTTGAGACTCAGCTCCACTTACCTGCCCGGTCACCATAACCCTTGATTCCTTTTACTGTTCAAAAATTTATCTAGCCTTGCCTTTAAAAAAATGTATGATTCTAAATCCATAAACTTTTGAGGTAAAATCACGATGAGCCATATTTCTCCTGTTTCTAGGATCTGGCTTTTACAACCCACCCACCAGTCTGTATTCACCCAGGGTGGGAGGGGTGGAGAAGGTACGTAAAATATGATACGTTGGTAGTCCAATGATGTCCTGCCTACCCTGACCTGTTCCCCATAAAACAGTTGGCCTGAAATTGACAGTCTACTAATTTTTAAAAAAATATCATTTTACTGGACCAATGAGCTTCTTAAGCCAATTGGCCAAATAGTATCCTACCCACCCCTAATACAGTAGGCCTTGTTAAATGTTGGTTGGATTGGGACAGACATTTGTTTCAGAGGGTGGGGGAAAATGGTGAGCTGTCTTTCTCCATCCCAATAAAATTCAGGTCTTTGGTGTTCTGAGCCTGAGCTGTCAACAGAACCTTTATGGTTTTCAATTTCAGTGTCTTAGGCCATTTGAGAAAAATGTAAGATTAAGCAGTGCATGCAAGGATGGAATCTTTGACCTCTTTAGCAAACAGATGAAATAGAAGTGTACCGTGCAACTATGCTGTCAAATATGTAGTCACCTGATACTAAATTGGAAATTCAGTTGGAGTGATTAATCAATACTCATATCCAAAAACAAGGATGGAATGGCAGAGCAGACTCATTGAGTCAAATGCCATATTTCTGCTCATACATCTTATGGTGTTCCCACTCCTGATCTTGCGGAAAGGTTCAGTTTCCTGTTTTAAATAACTTGCAGACAGTCACATTACAGATTCCTGCATTCTCCAAACCCTTAAAGCATCTGTAAACTTTTAAATTGTCCCCTGCACCCTAACATCTAGATTGTGTGTCAGAAAAAGCAAGCATTCCAATATGAACCCTGTGGAACTCCACTAAAAACCTTATTCCTGTTTGAAAAATATCCACTATTGGCCTGCTGTGTTCATCCAGCTCTACACCTTGTTATCTCAGATTCTCCAGCATCTGCAGTTCCTACTACCCCCCACTAACGTTTACTCTGTTTTTCATCCTTCAGCCAATTTTGTTTCAGTGCTTTTATTGTGTATTTTGTTCCATGAGCTATTTATTTTTCTGAAGTCTATTCTGTGGTTTGGTATCAAATGCTTTTTGAAAGTCCACGTATGCCTCATCAACTCTCTCTGTTACCTCTTTGAAAAACTTAAAGTTGATTGTTTGACTGGGGAGTCTTGAACTAAGGGTCACAGACTCAAGTTATGGGGTAGGCCATTTAAGACTGAGAAGAGAAATTTCTTCACTCACAAAATGGTGAGCCTGTGGAATTTTCTACCCCAGAAAATGGTTAAGGCCAAAATGAATGTTTTCCAAGGAGTTAGACATAGTTCTTAGGACTGAAGGGTATGGGAGAAAATGGGAACAAATTGGACAATCAGGCTGAATGGCCTATTGCTCCTATTTTCTATGTTTCTATGATAAGTTAAACATGGTTTTCTCTGAAATCTATGCTATTCAAATTAACACATTCTTTCAATGTCACTATTAATTCAATCTCTGCCAAAGTTAAACTGACTGGTCTGTAATTTCTAGTCTTATCTTCACAACATTTTTGAACAAGAATGTAATGTTTGCAATTCTCTAGTCTTCCAGAACCACCTCTGAGCCCAGGGAAGATTATTCTAAGTACCTCTGCAATTTTCACCATCACTTCCTTCAATATTCTTGGATGTATCTCATCTGGTCTTATTTCCTAATCAATTTTAAGTACAGTTATCCAATATCACCATCTATTCAATTTTAAACCCTGCTAAGTGACCAAGTTCCTTCCTCTCACCATGCCTGGGCAGCATCTGTCTCATAGCTTAAAACAGACAAAAATTATTATTTATCACCTCGGCCATGCCTCCTGTCACTAAGTGTAAATCATTTTTTGTATGTTCTTTTATAATTGATATGTTTATGGAATACTTTATTTTAGCTACCTGTGTTTTCTCTTTAACCCTCTTTTATTTGCTTTTTCACCTTTCTTCTAGACCTTCTGCATTTAACTTGGCTTTCAATTATATTTTTCAGCTCACACTTACCATAAGCACATTTTTTCCTTTAACTTAATTTCTATCTCCTTCATCATCCAAGGAACTCTGAATTTGAATGCCCTACCTTTTTTCTGAGAATATAATTTGTGCCTGATTCAT